GGGGGAGGAGACTGGTGAATGAGTACAGAAGATAACTGCAATCATCATTAATGTTTATCACAGACACTGTCATTGAAAAGCTGGTTCTTTGTTTAATGACATTTTCATAAGTGAGAGGTACCGACAAATTAGCTGAATGGGTGAGGGTAATTTTTTCTTTGCAGGACCTGGCTTCTTTCTTCAGCCAGGAAAGATTGCTGTGAGCCAAAAGGATGTGCAGGGAAAGGACACTTTTTTACTCTTTGCTTATCATTTGCCAACCAGGACACACTACCGAATAGTCAATGCTGGATGCTGATTTCTTAATATATACGCTATCTTGTTTAGACCCAAGGTAGAACTGACTCAACAAGAAGATTCTTTGATTCCTACTAGGCAGGCACATCATTTAAAAATACTTTCTCAACACTCAATTGTTTCTCTCTACATAAAAGCTCTTTGTTCCAATGTTCTCCTTCAAAAAGCCCACAGTTCAGCTTTTTCTAATAGCACTTAGAAAACTGATATGTTTTGGCGAGAACTCTGCAACTATTTAAAAAGTCAAACACATTTTCATTAAGAGGAAATAGCTAAAAGTTTTATTTTAGAGGACGCTGGATTTTGATTTCGCAAGATTATGCTGCTTGTGGTCTGAAAGAAGAAGGAGTGCCACCCACCTTAGTGAAAGCTTTAATGGCGCGGGCAAGGATGGCTTCCTCAACATCCACGGGAATCGTCTGCAGGCTCACTATGCAGTGTAACACGCAAAGAATAGTCTGGTGCTGGCCCTATTTTTGCAGAAATCAAAATCAAAAATGTTGTCTGAAAAATACCTCAAGAAACAAACTCAGAGCAGCTGCAGAGCCAGGAACTGGTTGGGGACCAAGTACTCAAAACCTCCAATACTACACTATCTACCAAGGGTTCACCAATGTTTACAATTATATGTTTGAAAAGCTTTCAGGAGATAAAATCAAAGCTCGTTAGTTATTACATGAAGTGCGACTTCAAATAAAATGTCTTCCTTGCAGTGAACTGATGGGATGATCCACTCATTGTTTCTCGACACAATCACTTCGGTTTGGCCAGTGTATACTGAAATGTCATGGCAATACATGGACACGTGTGCCTGTCCATTGGAGATGCTACTGAGGGAGGAGGGGTAGAAGATACAGCACAGTCCTCCAGGAGCATACCAGAACTTAAGGCAGAGGTCCCTGACGAACATGTCACGACTTGATTCCTGGCGGCTGTTCACCTTAGAGAAACAAAGGAGAACCGCCGCCCCCCCCGCCGCCCCCACCACTGGACAGTGTGCATTCAGTACACATTGCCCCTGAGAGCCACCAACTTCACCCTGGGCATCTATTCTTTTTTTTTTTCTTCCTGGACATCTATTCTAAAGGCATAATCTGAAATACAGAAACTCCTTCAAACACAAATGATCATAACAGTGAAGCCTACAAAAGTAAAAATGCTGAAAAGACATCCTACAGGTGGCGTTGGAGTAAATGCTGATGGAACAGCATGATGTGACAAAAGGTGCACAAGTTTTGTGCCAGAGACACTGGAGTTTGAACCTTGCTCTGATACAAGCTGCGTACCTCGGCCGAGTTACTCCACCTTTCTTTCTCAGTAAAACAGGGCCTCTACCTCTGCAGGCAGAGGAGATGAACAAAGGTGAAAACGGAAATTACATCCCAGCAAGGGCCTGGCCAACCACCACCTAATAAGGATAACTGCCTCCCTGATCCCCTCCCCAGATCCATCTCTGTAATTTAACTGCTGAAAATATAGCCTAAGAGAAAGACTACTAATACAGGAAAAATCTTATCTTTAAAGATGTGCATCACACAACTGTGTGCATCTGCATGTCTGTGTGTGCACTAGTAGCAGATGTGGAAATGAGATGTTTACACTGCAGCATACTAGGTAACTCAAGGCTGATTATGAGATAACGGTTTCCTAAAACAAAAACAAAGTCTATTTTTAAATGAAAATTTAGTATCTCTATATGGTTAAAAATATTAAATTGTATAAAAGGAACTACGATGAGAAGAAGTCTCCCTCCCTCCCTTCCTAGATCCATAGTATATTCCCTAAGGCAACCACTACTATCGGTTTCTTGGTTTTCCTTCTATATTCTTCTATATTTTATACATATATAAATTATATACATATGTACATGTGTGATACAAACCCCTTTCAAAAAACTACAAATAAGTGCATATTCCAACCTACCTCACAGTTAGTTCTTCCCATTCTATGCTCATGGTAAATAAGTAGAAACAAATACTTGAAAGTGAAAAAGTGGTTAATCACGACACATCCCCCACCTATGTGTTAGAGTATTACTTACTCATCAAGTTAATTTTTATTAAAAAAAAAACTCATACTAAACATGGAAAGATACCTATGTTATAATTTTGAGCAAAAATGAAGCATGAAGTTGTACATGAAATGATTTTTACCAAGTTAATACATGCAGTGATAATACCGAAAGACGTGAAAATGTTTAAAGTGGCTCTCCTGGGATTATGGATATTTTCCTTTTTATTTTTGTATCTTCTAAATGTTTATACTGGATATGAATTTCTTTTATCTTGGAGAAACTTTAATTAGACCCAGATATGGGATTCTCTATGAAGTCTCCTTTTTATTATGGATTTTTTTTGAGTGTGTGAAACTTATATAGTTAACTTATCAACTGGTCCAGCACCTACTTTACCTTCTCCAATAAAAACAGCGCTTCTGCGGCATCTGCATGTCTGTCAACCAACATGCCCACGTCCTCTTGGGTTAGCACAGGCTCCTTCAGCTGCTCCACCCAAGACCACATCAAACTGCACAGGATGAAAGGATCCTTTTCGCCACATATTCTTTCCCAAGCTCCATCTCGGGAATTTAGTTCTTTCTAAAAAGAAAGGAAGAAAGAGGGAGGAGAGAGGAGAAAAGAGGCAAGGGAGGCAGGCACCATTCGACATTTGATTACCTCAGGCCGTCCAGGAGAGTGAAAGTCTCAGGCTGTGGGTATGGGCTGGGACCCCTCCCAGCACCCCCACTTCCAAGAGGCACATTGGGGTGAAATAGTGAACTTATCTAAGCCTCTGTTTCCCTCTGATAAGTGCGTCCCTGTCTCACATGTGTTGGGTTGACTAAATGAGGTCTGTGAAAGCTCCTAGCGCAGAGAATGGCATAGCGAACCTAAGTTTTCCACTTCACTCGGACACCAAAGAAACAACTCTGGAAGGAAGCCTTCCTTTTCGGGGTCCTGGCGACCAAAACAGAAATATTTGCTGCAATGAAGTAGAATGATAGATGAAAAACTATAAATAAGAGAACATTTGCAAATTAACCTGGGATAAGGAAAAGCTTCTGAGTGAAATGTTAAAGTATGCCCCCCCCAAAAGTGTTTAAAATTGCAAATGTGGTATATGTTCTTTCAAATTCCTTTTTAGAATCATGTATACAATTTAAGAATAAGGAGCCCTGCATCCTGAAACTTGATAGGGTGAAAAGAACTAGGAAGTCTTGTCAATACTCCAAATGCCTGGAGATAATTTAGGCAGGAGCTTTTAAAACTTTACCTCAGAGAGCAGGGGAAAAGTGAGATAAGAATTTTAATTTCTGACAAAAAATTTAACTTAGATTTATGTTTTAGTAAATAAAATGTTTGCAATAGTAATAAGCACAATTATTGCTACCATTCATTCATTCATTCATTCACCGTCCAGTACTTGTAGAACACTTATAATATGATAGGAACTATCTAATATACGATTTATCTCTGATTCTATAGCAATCCATCAGGGAAGCCCCTCTGCAATAAATGTACTGGGGCTCAGAAAAGATGGAATAACTGACTTGCTCAGGAGCCCAAAGCGAGAAAGGAGCAAAACAGGCTCTCCTACCCAGCTCTGCTCCACTCCAGTGTCTGTGGACACTGGAGAACAGGGGGAAAAAAAGGCAAACTTACCCAGATAAAAGGGCTGTATTCAGCTCTAGAAAATGCTTTCCTATGTGCTACATATTGAAACGATTTGGCCCATGCCAAGTACCACACTGAGCAGTGTGGGCACAAGTGGGGCTGACCCATGAGGGGCCGCAAGCTGTTGCATATGAAACCAAAGGGCCTGCTGCTAGCTACTGTGGCACACAGTGATGCAGAGGAAAGACCTGCCGACTGAGTGGAAAGATTTCTCAGTTACGAGTAGGAGATAAAAAACACATTTCATGTTGGAAAAAATAATACATCTATTTGTTAAGCAAAATACAAGTCTAGTGGAGAATGTGTGTGTGGAAGTACTCTCCTCAGGTCATACAGTTGTAAGCTGGTGCAAGGCTCTGCCTCTGCATCTGGAAAGTTCTGGCCCTCCTGGAAAGTATACATGCCTTAATTAATGGCAGAACACAGAAGAGCAGCTACACAATTAACTTGTGGTAGATTACAGGCCACCAAGTCAAGATTTCACTAAGCCAGGCCTGCCTGGTAAGCCCCCACAGCTGGGCAATTTACCCTTTCCTACTAAATTTACAAGGCCTGCCTTATCTCTAGATCAGCTGCTCATTCAGGGCAGAGAGTGTGGCTGGTTTAAGATCGTCTTTCTAGTAAAAATACAACACACAAAAAAGGAGTTAAAATATAATTTCACATTCTAATTTATGTAAAATCCAAGAAATGGCTCCCAAAGACCTAACCTCAGGAACCAACTACACACAGGTACTCTGACTGCTCCCATTTGCTTTCCTGATCTGACAGCTGCCTCACTGGGACAGGACTGGGGAGTTCTCAAGAGGGAATGCTGAGTAGACAGTATCCATCATGCTTCCTCCTGACCTCACTCAACACTTGTGTAAATGAGCTTTGGAAAAGAATTTGCTCTGATTTCATTTATGTCTCCCAGTCGGTGATCCTCAAAAGGTGGCTCCTTCACATTGGCCTAGAGATCCTTCAGGTCAGTTTACAGCTGTCTGCCATGGCCTGTCCACCTGTACATCAGTCTGTCTCACAAATCCAGAAAGAAAGAAGGAAGCTACACATATCAATCATAACCATGCTTTGCTCACTCATACTCTGCCAAGCGCTAAATGCCTTTTTTCACAGGAGACTGAAAGTAGCCCACCCAATAGCCTCATTTCTGTCATTTTACTGGGCTCTTTTTACAGCTGAGAAGCCTGAAGTTCAAAAGCTAAGTATTATACCAACACGTCTTCAAATTCCTATAACAAATGAATCTGGGAAAATGCATGATGTTTGCTCTGACATAAGTATTTCCCAAGCATATATAATTCAATGAAATATAAATACCTGCCACATTTCTACTTTCCTCTTCACTTCTTCCTTTTCTGCAAACTCATTTAAGTTTGCCAGGGCTTTGGCCGCCATTATTCTCCTTTCTTCAACACTCAATCCAGACTGCAGAGCAGTATGTGGAGCAACTTCAGGCACATCTTTGCTTTCCTGGGTTTCTGGTCCAACCAAGGACTGTGCTTTGGGGCTGGAGCCACAGTTCACAGGGTTGCAGCAGGTCTTACTGTCCTCCACACCAGAGTACAGGCTGCAACCACCAGGAGCTCCACACTGACACTGGGTTCCTTGCTGGGAAGAATGATGTGGCTCCTTAGGGCTATTTGCAAAGCTGGTTGTAAATGGTTCCCCAGGGTTGTACGAACCTGAAACACCTGAAGAGAAGGTTCTACTCCGCTGTACTTCCTTTGGAATATTCCTCCTATGGAAAATTGGTGACCCATCATCTTTGAGACCTTCTAGGTCTCCAAATTTAGCCTGATTCCAGAAAGAAAATGTATTACGGACCAGTGTTTCTTTATTGAATTCCAGCTGTGGAGTCTGTGCAGCATCACAGTGACTTATGGGTGTCTGCTGCCTGGGGTTGTGGCAAAATGAGACCTGAGCAGGCACCGTCAATGGAGTCCCTGACTGCTCCAGAAGTGACTCGGCCCTCTGTAAATCTGAGTCGCTGTAACTGAGTTGCCTTTTCAGGCGAGTCAGGGGCTGAAGGCACTCAACATTCCGTCTTTTCCAAAGAGGGTCAAACTCTTGCTCACTGGAAAGAATCACATCCTGATTATCAAAATCTGCTGCCATTACAGCGGGGGTGAAAGAGTTTGACACATCACTGTCATGCCTCAGTAACTCTTTATCCAGCTGCATCGTGACCACCTCAGAAACAGTCTTTTCAATTTCGGCAGAGAGGCCAGGTACTTCTACCACTTTTTCTGTCACCACGGGCCTATTCTCTGCTAAGTCCAGCAGCAATTTGCACACGAGGTGGATAATTTTTGGCACATGTTTCAGAAATCGCGCCTCATAACCATGAAGCAGATGCCGCTGGCGGATCAGATATTGCGCTAAGGTGACAGCATGTGCTTTGGGGTCACAGCAAGAGAATATGTTTCGAAGAGGAATCAGAAACTGAGTAAATTCCCTCACACACAGTAGCTGTCCTCGAGTTTGAATGGAATTGGGTCGTTTTGCCCGAACAAATATAATTGCTTGGTCAGCAGTCATCCTCGTTGCAAAAACTAAATAACAAGCTATTAAAACACCTAATAGTGAAGAAAAGAATACTGAATGAGAAAAGTTTATGTATATATTTTTATTGATCACTCTTTGATGATTTAATTTGGTATGTGTTAGGAAACCATTTAAATACAGAAACATTTTAAGAACAATTTTGTAACTTTTTGTAAAAATGTTCATCTATTTACTTGTCTATATGGCAACCCTCACCTTGACTGAGAACACTGTCTCCCCTGTACCCAGGGGTGAGCACAGGAACTGTCACAGTGATTTTAAGTGTGGATTAAGGGGAGAAGACTAAGCATGGAGTGAGGAATGACTGAGTAAGTGGGGGATGATGGGGGATGACTGAGTAAGATAAAGCAAGGGGGAATGACTAAGTGCAGTAAGAGGGGATGACTGAGTAAGTGTGGAGTAAGGGGGGATGACTGAGTAAGTATGGTGTGAATGAGGAATGAATACATGTAGAGTGAGTAGGGGATGGATAAGTGTGCCATAAGCGGGGACAACTGAGTAAGATGGAGTACGAGGAAATGACTAAGTATGATGTGAGGGGAGATGACTGAATACGTGTGGAGTGAGTGGGGGATGGATGCCGTAAGAGGGAATGACTGAGTAATAGTGGAGTAAGAGGAGATAACCTGGCCTGTTTATCCACCTTATGCCTAACTCCCACATGGAAGAAATAAAATCCTGCTTTTATTTCCCACTCTGTACAGTTTTTGAAAATTTTCATGCAATGGACCCATACCCTGTACTTGGAACATCTCACTCCTGCCTTTGCCATTGACTGTTCACAATCCATTCACAATCCATTTTTTTTTTCCCCTGAAAATTCTTCTTGCTGACTTATCTCTACACTAATATATGTTTTTCTTCACACTATGACATAATTCTATATTGCTACAAGCACTTAACAGTGTAAATATTATGTATTCTTGCTATTAATTTTAAATTAAAATAACAAAAAGGTGATAATAAACAATTAATTCAATTTATCAAAGTAAAAGGCAATCAAAAGACATCTGTATGATTCACCAAGGTTGAGAATCTCGTTACACATGATTATCAGAACCTCTGAAAACTGCATGTTCTCCCAGTACGTGGTAGGTGGGGTCCAGCATATCTTTTTCATTAGGACAGGGCAGGTCCTTAGTGTTAGGTATGAAATATCTGTAGACCTATTGCATGGAATCCCCAGGAACAGCAGAATTTTGCTGGACCATAAGAGCTGATGATATCGAGCAGTATTGCGTCCCCACCCTGACGAAACTCTTGAACAGATGAGAGACCCTGTGGCAGGTAAACTGTGGAGAGAGTCAAACTCAGGTGTTTGGTTGAACCAGATGACAACGAAGGTTCCAGCCCAGCGGTCTTTATTTTTGCCCCAATATCAGTATTGAACTGAGATTCTGGTTTTTTTTGTTTTTGTTTTTTAGTAAAATCATTAATTTATATAGAATTCTAGGAATGAATAGACTCTCCTTTACAACGACCTAATAGCCATGAATTAAAACTTGGCCCTGCCACTTACTAGATGTAGCAAATTACTTAACTGCCTTCAAAACTCACAAAGCTGCTTAAGACAGTAAGAATAAAATGCTCAGAACATTGTAGGTGAAACAATGCTTCCTATTTCATTATTTTAAAGAAAAATTACATTTTTAAAGACAATACATGTTTAAAAATATTATTCATTATAAGTTTAAATATATACAAGACAATAAAACTACCTCCTAAAATTTACCTGTTCGACCAAGCCCTGCATGACAATGGATAGCTACTTTTCCTTCTTGTAGAGCAAATGTCATCACCTTAACCATATCTAAGATGGTAGTAAGGGATGCTACACCATAGTCCTTCCATCCGAAATTGTAGAAATAAACTGGGCAATGAAAAAGAGAACAGGAAAAAACATCAACATACAGGAAAAAAAACTTGCAAAAATATTTGAAAAAAGTGAGTGAATTCATGAAGAGTAGAAAGCTGTAAGGCACACAGATCTCACTGTATGTGTAGGCCTAGAATAATAGGCTTTTTACATTTCCAGTAAGTTTATTGTTAGCATTTCTCACAAAGAACATTCTGTATTACTTAAGATATTTCCTG